TACGTAGCACTTCATTATAACACCAGTTAGCTCGTCCTGCATTATTTTCTACTGCAATAAGTTTGTAAAGTCTGACTTCTTTTGAACCCTTCAAAGTAAGATCATAAAAGTTGAACGCTATCTCCAAGGTTACACCAAATCTAAATTCAAAATAGACAAAGATAAATAAATAAATGACACACAAAAAAATATGACTCTGGTCCAATGTTCTCTCAGGTATTTATTGAGACTTGTCCGTGTTTGAAGAATCATAGCGGTCTGGGCCTTTAGCCAAAGCCAATTTGCTACAGTTAGCAAAACAAAACTGTTTACAAAGCGTTAGATTTCTTGGCTGAATTCTGTCGCGAACCTCCTCAGACGTTCTGCTCCTCCCACATGACGTGAGCAGTGGGTAAAACGGGACAGGTGCTGCAGGTGTTGCATATTTGCACCAGACCGCCTCGCTTCTCCAGCTCCTTCCAATGCGGATGCTGTAAAGCGAGTGCGTGATTCCAGTGTTTTAGCTGCTCCTCTGGATGCGGCACTGGTAGGATTGCGCCAGCAGGGTTTACTTTAGGATTTGAGCATGACAGCTGCTGGAATACTTCTTTCCACAGAGAACGGGACACGGGTCACACCAACACTACAGTGGTACAGGCCTGGGCAGCGCGGTTCCAGCGGGGAGCTCAAATGGTCTGTGGATCAGAGCTCTTTCCAAACTGACTACAGACGCTGCCATGGACTGAATGAATTAAATGTCCTGCAGAACATTTACATCTGTCCCTAACTTTTACAGACAGTATTTTACTGGTATGCCCAAAATTATTCATACCCTAGATGGATTTAGATTCTGAAGTACCATAATTCAATAACACGTGCATCTCTGAAATAACCATGGAAACAGCATAATATTGGGAAAACATTGTTTTATTTGAATTTTATTTTTTTTAATTACATGTTTAACTAATATAAAACTAACTTACAAGTAGCTTTTCAACAGGAAACAGGAGCTTGTTTTAAGTCAATAATTCCTTAATAGAAGAAGCAGCATTCAGCTTCTATGTACCACAAATCTGGAGGAAACTTCCAGAAAACTAAAACGCTACTGAATCACTGAGTTCCTTTAAATCAAGGTTAAAACCTCACCTGTTTAGGAGTAACTGGAACAATATCAATATGTTTTATTTGGAGTTGATTGATGATTTTGATGATAGTGTTTGACGAAATGTAATATTCATATTGCTTCAACACAAATAAACTTGTCATATTGATGAAAAGGACTAATTCCACTGGCAAATGATCTCACTTATAACCAGTACATTTTCATCAATATTAGAGGATATACTGACTTAAACAAGCTCTGATATCTTTCTGAGGAGTTACTTGTCAGTTAGTGTACCAAGATATTTCCACTAGAAACTAGACAGAGCATTGTCACTGAATATAATCCCAGCTATTGTGCTTTTACATTTTTTCCCCTCATTATAACCAAGAAATTGAGTCAAAATATGGATTCACTCTATTGAGAAACCAGCTAACATTCATGGCTTCGGCTCTCCATGCCAGATGAGTGTACTGCTGCTGCCTCTGAACTCCACACCCCTTGTCAATAGCCCGTTACTCCTCATTTCCAAGCTGAGGTCACCTCTGTGACACCATCAGGGTTATTTTCTCAGACATCAGGGCTCCGCTGGAGCCGTGAAACATCTCCTCTGATTGTTTTCACATGGGGAGTTGTGCTGTCCACGATGAGTAAAATCACTGGCATTTCTAATGGCCTCTGATTTTTATCTGGGTGTTTTAGTGATCATAATTCTGCTCCGGTTAAAATTTAATTGCATCTGCTGCGCCTGCAGTCATGGATTTTTATGAAGCCAGTGACAGACATGATGTGTGGTTTGAGTGTTGGCCTGTTCGCTCCTTGTCTGTGGAAGCTCACCTGGGACCAAGCATAAATGGAAGGTATGTTTGGTCAGCAGACTTGTCCAGCTGTATTTATTTCCTGGCTGGCAGCGATGATGATGATGGTGGTTCGTGTTAGTCACGGCCGGCCTTCCTCACAGCAGCCAGAGACAGTTACTCTTGGCCCAGCTTCAGTCTGGATCCAGCCGCCTGATTAGATGCAGCCAGACGGATATAAAGTAGAACATGCAGTCAGAACCAGAACGTTTGTAAATGATAGTAAGGGAGATGGAAGTAGGCCATTTATGTTAGCTTGACTCTGACAATCTTAACATGTATGTGCCACGGAATTTGATGTTTCGGTTCAGTAAAAAAGAAAATAAAATAAAGGAGCCGACCCGCACAACAAGTCTGACAGATCATCAGTAGAGCAGGTGTTTAAATTAGCTAATCAATCACCACAGTATTCAGATGATCACTTAATAATCACAAAATTGAGATAAGGGGTAGAATTAATAAGTGTTCACTTCTTCCGACTCTTTTTCAAATAGAAAAGTAGTAATAAACTAATTATTTTGTTCTTGGTTATGTATGCACCTGATCTCTATCCTACTGATTGCTTCTTGTTTTTTAAAGACCTTTTTTACATAAATAAAAAATGAACATAAAAGCCTGAAAACATGATACTGTAATGAATTGAATGTTCTGCTCTTTGTGTGGGAAATGTTTGCGTGTTTCTTGGTGTTATTTCCTGATACATTAGTAGAGCCGTCGTTAGTGAGTGTCTATGAGACCGGGTCTGTGTGTAGCGTAGTCGACAGAGCCAGAAAAAAGAAGAATACCAGTGGAATTGAGTTGTTCTTCAACATTTTTTCTGCTTTATTTTTCCCTTTGCTGTGCTGCACTGCACCAAACTAATAACGCCAAAATCTCCAGGGTTCATTTTGTTAACAGAATTATTCTACTGCTGCAGTGATGCGGCTATGGACGGCATGTAAATGAATAATCTCTTTGCCCTTCAGCTGTGTGCGCATGTGCGACATTTCCGGATGTAAACAATAACATGCAAGGTTGATTGCATAAGTTGATTTTCAGAAGGTAGTGGGCAAGAAATAATAAGTAGAAAAAAACCCCTTGTATTTGGAGGCGTTCCAGACGCTTTTCTTCTGGCTGTTAAGTCTTCTCACGACATATTGTTCCTTCAGGCCATGGGAGAACAGAGTTGGCCGGGGAACACCGAGATAAATTGCTCAACATGAAAGGTTGGAGAGGTCCATTAAGCAAATTGACAAGGTGAACCGATGATAGAATGGGGTTTAGTGTAAAACTTTCATGTGAAATAAGCATGGCACTCAATTCAGTGTCAGCTTATTAATAAACACAAACAGAACGAGGCATACAGGCTCGGAGAGGAGGCTGCTGGCACGAATCTGAGCCCACAGCCCGCAGTGTCACGCTCCAGCTGCAGAGCAGATAAAAACTCTCAGATCTCTAACAGCCGAGGGTGACGGCAACAGAGCGGCTTCACTCACCTCACAGACTGTCGGTTGATGGGTTGATGTGTTTCTTTGGTGATCAGTGTAAACCCACAATCCTCCAGTCCTATTCAAGAAAATTACTTTACTTAGATAACTTTTCAGACTACTCTGAATAATTAATTGATCATACTGTACAGTGTGATAACTAGGATCAGTTGTAAAGTATGTGTGATTGAATTGAGAGGTTTTTTTAATTTTTTTTTTTTGTAAAGTGCCTCAAAACGACATTTGTTGTGAACTGGAGCTATGTAAATAAAATCAATTGCCCTGAATTAGTTTATGATATTATTATTTTATTATTATACCCAAGTTTGAATCTGCAATTCACAGAAATGATCATGTTTTGGGGTGGTGAAGGTGGTGAGGCAGACACAGTGGACTCAGGTTTGTAGAATGAAATGATGGTTTAATGAAGATAATGCACAAAATCCAGGCAGCACAGATCAGCAGAAGGCTGGGAGCTCAGAACTGGTAGCAACTGGAATACAACTAGAGACAAAAACGTTGAGGACTGGTTAGACGTGAAACAGAAGCAGGTAATCAGGGGAAACAAGACAGAGCTGGGAACAATCAAGGGGTAGACAGGACATCACAGAGACTCAACTGAAAACAGGAACCTAAATTAACACAGAAAAAAACAAATCCTCACAGAAATTCTGTCAAAGTTCTGGACAGTCTGGATACGTAGATAAAAATGCAAAATTGTATTAAATACTGACATGCAATCAGCTGCGTTTCCATAGATATAAAACTTAACTGAAATAATAAACTGTATTTGACAACATTCTAATCAACTCTAGAATGTATGCAACGACCTCCGTCTGCATTTCCAGGCTGAGATTAAATTTGTTTAGCAAATTGCCTGGAGATGATATTTGCTGTGAATTACTGCTTTACAATACACTGAAGTGAATATAAATGTATTGATTAAACCAGTGGTCATTGTAACAGGCTACACAAAAATGCTCACAATTCAATCCAATGGAATGTGACCCTAAAAAGAACAGGCAAAAACATCAGTCTGTAGATGTAAAGACAAATAGAGACAAACGCCAAACGCCCTGTGAATCTGTGGACCAAATGTTTAATTGTAAAAAACTAAAAACTTTAAAACCACATTATCGTTTTCATTCCAGTTGACAATTTTTCACAACTTTGTGTTGGTTTAAATAGCAATAAAACACAGTTACTACTGTGGTTATGATGGAACACAGTAATAATTTAAGGGGTGTGAAAACTTTTGTAAGGTGCTGAATATTTTATTGCAAAAATACAAATTATTTGTTCCAAAATTTTTGTTTTTAACAGCAACCAGTAGAGGGCACTGAACACAGTCACTGTCTGATAGATGATACAGTTCTTATGCTGGAACCCGTTTAGATAAATAGCAATACCAATAGGTATTTGGTCTCCAACAAGGTAACTGTATGGCAAAATCTGGAAATGTTATCTATTATATAAGGTCTAGGACATTTTCAATGCTCCTGAATTGAAAATGTTCTGACTTGATATGTAAAGGGACAGTATTATGTACTTTCCAGGCACATAATGTAATTCTATAGCACAATCAAGTAACTATGTTATCTTGAGTTTGTTAGGTTCTGGATGGAGGTTGGGGTTGGTTTTTCTCCACTAGATGGAGTCCTGGAGGCGGCTGCACGGAGGGCGGACCTTTGACGTCATCTACATACCGGTCGGCAATCACGTCCTTACCTGCGGCTTAAGAGAAGCGGTTTGCCAACACTTTGACACCAGATTGTTGACTAGTGATGAACCTACCCGAGTATCCGTATCTGGACCTCCATTCCCCGTTAGTCCGTCGTGACGCTGGCGACAGTTACTCGCCAGATGCCCGAGTCTCCACTGCAGTCTTACAGTTCAATCCTTCTCCAAATCTCACTCAAATTGGCAAACCGTCTGCTCAGTCGCTCTCCAAGCCCTGGCCGACCTGTCCGTCCCCCAACGCCGCCACACCAGCTCAAATCAAGCTGCTGCTCCTTGCTTCCGTCAAGGACTTGACGTTTCCTGGCAAACGCCTCCGTAACCAAAGAAACGGAAACCCAGAAACTCTGGCTCCCTCCAAAGGTCACATATACTACTACACCCGTAAGTTCCTCTTTTCCTCTCTGATACAACGCTAATTTCCTACAACCTCAAACTCATCTCCCCCTTTTTTTTAGTGTGCTGTTGGTGCTGCTGCCCGCCGCTTGAACCAATTTCCCTCCTGCTCATAATAAACCTGTTAAACTTTATTGGTTCTCCTGTATATGTTCTTGCATGTGGGTTACTCGAATTACACCCGACGTGACAGAGTTGTCATTAAAATGCTAAATACATACAGTATATATCAAATATGACTTAAAAGAAATTTGAATTAGTAATTTAACACCTTGGAATTGGGCCTCTGTCTCTTTAAGAAACTCCTGCTTTTTCTGAAACTCTGCCTTCAGGAAGTCATCACAACATGGTTACTCTATTAACCCTTTAACAACGTTTTTACCATTGTTGAACTGAGAAGTAGCTCCTATAAGGAGCTCAGCTGTTGAGCAGCAATTAGCAAGCTGGCTAGTCTGAAGCAGCAGAGTAGAGGAGTAGCAGGGGAGGGCAGCTCTGTGAGGCGGAAGCTCAGAAACTTGAAAACTGCAGCTCTGGGGAGGAGCCTTGAAGATGCAGCTAGGTCCACCAAGGTATTTTGCACAGATGAATGATTGCCAAGGAGATTAAAGGATTTCTCAGATATGCATGAAATAATTAAGGAAACACTCCAGGTATGTTTTTGATGAGGGAATAACATAATATACAAATCTAAAAAAAAAAAAGTCAATAAATTATAAAAAAAGTTTTTAAAGTCATATTTGATGTATTTGGCATTTTTATGACAAATGACAGTAACATACTCACTTGATTGTGCCATAAAATGGCACTACATGGCTGGAAAACACATAAAACACATGCCTCTGTAAGACAAGAAACCTTTTATATTTGATAGTTTTCTTATCTGGTGAACCACTTAAGGTGCTTTAGTATATAGCACCTTCCCACATGTACAGTGGGCTTTTTTTTGTTTATACATGCAGTTGTTACCCCTATGCTACATACATTCACACACCAGTGAGCACACAAACCACCAAACATCTAGTGCAGTCCTTTCTTTTAATCTACAGCAGCCCTGGCTGTTTCCAAGGCAACGGTGAGGGACAGAGATGTAACTGATAGTAATGTAAACTACATATGCTAAGCAAATATAGCACATAGAGGTCATTCAAAGGTTACATTTAAGATGCAGTGTTTCTCTGTCATCATAAGGTATGAATGAAGATTTAGTTTTGTGAATTTTTTTAGCCCTTAGAGATCTCAACGGATATTATAAATAAAATCTATAATTATAATGATACTATTATAATGGCACCAGCAACCCTGCCGACCCCATTAAGGGACAAGGGTGTATAGAAAATGGATGGATGGATTATTTTAGCGAAGCTCTTGGGCTAAAAAATGTCAGGAAGTCTGGATGATTCCCATGTTTGTTTTCGTTTGGATTTTCTTTCTCTTTTCTTTCTCGGGTTTCTTCCCACTGTCTAGACATGCATGTTTTAGGTTAATTTGTGACATAATTTTCATTCTGATTGTGTTGTCTGCAGGTGTTTGTGTTACTGGAAATCTTGTGATCATTTGCGGTTTGAGGATAAATGGGACCACAAACATGTTTGATGCTGTTGTGCTCAAAACTCTGTGGAGAAAAACCAAACACCTCTTTGCAAGAAGCAACTCTGAGCAGAACATACAACATGCAGCACAAAAAAGGTGAAGAGAATCAAAATTTTAATTAATTAATGAAAACTTTACCACTATTGTGCTTCTTGACATTTGTATTAAGAAACATGAAAATTGAAGAGATGAATGGCCATGGAAAAGTGGCTACAGATATACAAATATAGAACCTTTAACTTTGCATAACAAACAAAAGATGATTGTATGACTATTCATTTAGTTTTATTGTAACTTTTTATGGCCACTGATAATCTACATGTAGGTAAAACCTGTGTAGATATACTGTATACTTGAAACTCTACATTATTATTTTCATACTGCAAAGATGATCACTAGCAGAAATGTATTGGTATTATTATGACATTTATAAACACTAAAAGGATAGATTCTCTCTTAAAGTATTTCATAGCAATAATGGATGAAGTTTCATATTTTCAGCTTCCAAAAATAATGACCTAATTTAAGTGAAAAAAAAACAAAAAAAAAACAAAAAAAAACTTTTAGCTAAAAAATACTTAGGTTATTAGTTTAGGAAGGTGGCAGTATGTAAGGTGGTACTTATTAATCTGATAATTTTGATATTGTAAATTACAACAAGTGTGCTGCTTTAAAGTATGAACTTTTTTTTGGTCTATCGGGCGCATAAATAAAGAGTTAAAGAGCTTGAAAACAAACAAATAAATAAATACGATCAAAGCATTTTTCCTCTACCAGTCTGAGTTGATTGCTTTTCGTTTTGCAGATTTGTTTAAAAAAAATGGTAGTTTTGTTTTTTGTCAGATCTCTTCGTGTGAGCACCTGTGTGTCTCCAGCTGACGTTCACGCTGCAGGCAGAGAAAACTGGCGGCAGCATCAGATAACGAAGGTGCTGGACCGTGTGTGGTTATGCACAGGTGAGGAGAGTGTGTATCTCACATGTAGTGTAGCGTGAAGAGAGCAGAGCAGCACAGCAGATGAACCAGATAAGAGGATTATTAGTTTATAAAACATCTCACCTGCACAGCTGGACCACCATCATGAAGAGTCCTCGGCAGCCAGCAGGCAGGAGCTCTGTGGGTACTGTGATGGGTCTGCTGTTCCGGCCTCTGCTCTGTCTGCTCTTTCCAGGTCTGTGTAATACCGTTACCAATGGCTTTAATTTGATTTCTTTTTAAGATTTCTTTTTCGCCGTTAGAGGCCTTCATTCAACTGTAATGTGACGGGAAGAGGGGAGGGAAGGGGAATGATGCAGCAAAGGAACCGAGGATGGGAGTGGAACTCGGACCAGGTCGGTTGCACACGACGGCATATTAGCTCCATTTTAGGTATAAGTAATGTGATTTATCTCAGTTTTTTTTTTCAAAAGTAGAAATATTATTATTTTTTTTTTTTTTGAGATTAATCTGAAAATTTTGGGGTTGCTTTGAGTACATTTTTAACTTTTGGCGTTCAGAAATGTACTTGATTTTTTATTTTTATTTTTTAGAAAATTTCTGTGGTTTTCAGTGGAAATTTACTTCTTTCTATCTATGATGGCCCTAATACGCCTCTGTACGCGCTAATCACTGCAACACCCCAATTAGCTTTAATTTTGTCTTTAGTGACTAAAATGTATTTCTTGGGGGAAAAAAACGTCCTTCTCTACTATTTTTCACCTTTAAGTGCAAGGTAAAGTGTGTTCCATTCACATTGTTACTCTGAATTATAAACCTTTTATATTCTGTTAACGTTACAACTATGAAACTAATGTATCAGTCACTTGATTTCAGAAACACAAGAATACCTTCCTTCAAAAACAAAGCAATAAATTCACTCTATGTTGCTGTTGTATAAGATATTGATGCAAAAGAGTGATGAATGATTTATGTGAAGCCTTTGCTCATGTCTGTGTATATATATACTGTGGCTCTCCATGTGCTGGTTCGTATATGTTTCTTGCCTGCTTGGACTATTTATGCTTACTGTGGCTTCTCTTGTCATCAGCTACAGCAGCAAAGACACCAGATGAATAACACATCATGAAGACTAAGTGGAAATACTCGTGAGAATGTGAAGAAACTTTCCAGTGAGGTTTCACTCATCTCACCCCAAAGTATTTAAAACGGTTTTATCAACTTCACAGAGCTAATGACTTTTTAAAGAACCGCCTGGTTTTGGTTCCTTCGAAGATGACCACAGGTCAAACTGTGGAGAGAAACACTCACATGGAGCCAAATAAACGGAACCTTAGTCTCTGAAGTCTGAGTGTAGTCTCTGTGTAGGTCACTTTGTGGCCGGATCACACACTCACTCTAAAGTTGCACACACAAGGCTTAGTGGGTGAATTTATTGCCAAAATTCTAGAATTCATGGTTCCTTTCTAATCACATTTGTTATGCCTGGTTCACACATCAAGATTTTAAAATTAATTAAAATTGTAAGAACTTACTGAATGCAGAGTCAGCTATTTCTTTATATTTTAACAGTCTGTTAATGGATTTTATCAACACATTGGAGCAGAACCGGCCCTTGAGAACATTCATAATCTGGAAACGGCCCAATATGAAATTGAGTTTGACACCGATGACTTACAGGATCTGCTACTGATACTGTGGTGAAATATCACCTTCATGGATTGGTAGGTTTTAATGACAAAAGAACCAATAACCGTAAACAGGTGGTCATAATAATTTGCATGACAAGTATAGAACCATAGTCCATTGTTCTTGCTCATTTAATTAAAACATGAAAAATTACCACTCATTCTCATCTCTGTCAGCCTCGTTTTGATTTCACCTTCCGCTCGCTGGCTCACTTCTTCAGCCTCCTCATCTTCTTGACAAGACGCTAATAAAACAATGCTGAACCCTGTGTGTCAGCAGTGACAACTGTGTGTGTGTGTGCGTGTGTGTGTGTGTGTGTGTGTGTGTGCAGTACCTCTCAGGACGGGATATCGGAGAGGTCTGGAACACCTCACTGTGTGTTAACATAGCAAGACAAGCAAAGGCAACAGATGAGACAGGGTTTATTTTAAATCAAGAGCTCTGGGCTGATAATTTTCTTTCCTTCTCTTTTTTTTTCATTTTTTCTCTGATTGTTTTTTTCTTTGCTGTCCTGCCCATTCCAAGTCTCTTATCAACGCTCATTTTCTTACTTCCTAGATCCTCCTTCCATTCTCTTATCTACCTTCTTTTTTCTTATCTCCTCTCTTCATCAATTTCTCTTCTAACATAACTTGTCTTCTTTTCTACATCCATACTTCCTCCTTATTTTGCACTTTTGTTTTTCCTGTCCTATGTGCTCTGGTATGGTGCCCCCTTACTATTCATATATATATATATATATATATATATATATATATATATATATATATATATATATATATATATATATAATTTTTTTTTCCAAGTTCCTTTGCTTTGTTAATGATCTGTGGATCCTTTCTTTTCTTTCCAGTTAACTCCTCAAGGTTCAAACTTAGCATTCTTTCTTTCCTCTGCTTCCATTTTATCGTTTTGGAGTTGAGATGTTTGTTGCTCAGAATTGGTGGAACCAGGATTCTGCTGTCTAGAAGATGATCCTGAAGGAGAACACCCTGCCTTAAGTTCAAGCTCACTTGAGTTAGAATAATCAGAACCACACATTGAAACCAAGCTCTGAATGGCTAAAAAATCTGGAGGGATCTAGTCAAAGTTGGACTAAAATCTCATTGAAATCCCAATACTTTGCACCTGACCCACCTTGGAAGGCAGTCTGTGTGTGATGTATAGTTTAAACGGGTATGCTTAATCTTAACCCTATCAGCTCGGCATCACATGGGTAACAGTTCAGTGTGAACAGTTTTCTTTCAAGCAGTTTACTGTGCGACACAGAGTATGCATATATGATGCTAAAAACTGATTTTTGCACTGACATGTTCAGCAGACGTCCTCTTAGATTCCACCTCTAGAATGTTGAGGGCTCTGGAAGAGAATTCCGCTCTCAAACTTGTAACCTTGGCAACCTGATCTCAGACAAGGAAAGAAAAATGGATAGAGGGTTCAAAATGGGACTGAACAATGTTGGATGATGTGCATATTTACCTTTTGTACACATGGATAGAACATGTACATGTACTGTGGTGTTGGATGACTAAAACTGTGTACATATCAAATATGAGTGTGACAGTACTGGAGCCATTTGTGTTCAATTTGCGCTGTGTGGGAAGGGGACCCAGTCTGAGAGGCCTGTCATCGCTAAGAGAGGACCGCTCAGCGCTCCGCAGCAACCCTCCTCTCTATAATGGCTTCCAGTCGCTCATAAAATCACCGAACTGTGGGAAACCAGGACAGGCCAGCGGCCAGAAGAACCTCTGCAGATAGCCCAGCTGCCTGAACTTGCTGGGGCAAACATATGGATGTATATGTGTTTGGTTGGGAAGGGATGAGGCTGGTCATAGGAAACACATCCTCCTAAACGTGCTGGCTCACTGATTCTAGATATTTACAAGGATCAAATTTACAGATAATATCGTGTAGAATTTTTCTACAGCTATGACAACAACAAAACGTCCTCAAATAGCTGCCAAGAGAAAATTCCCATTTTTTTTTACAAGATCTTTCTCACGTTCACATGACATATTTTTCTCATTATTGCAAGGCACCATTTTCCATCTACAGCCAGCGAGTTCAGGCCAGTACTGAGTCACTGATGATCACTGATACCACACACATGCACGGCGCGATCATGCACGGACTCCCAAGGAAAACAAAACTGTCTTGTCGTGTGATTGCTCTGGAAATCAGTGTGTCTTATTTGGCAACAAATCAAGATTTTCTTGTTTCATCTCCAAAAAAAGTTCAAATTCCCTCATTACTTTCTTGTAAGTAATTTACAAACATGCCAGTCACATGAGTTTAAGGTGGAAAACAAAAAAACTGGCATTAGACTTTCTTGAAAGGTGAGGAGTGACTTATATTGGTAAATGTCAGCTGAAACATGCTTCCATCTAAAGACTAAACAATCTGGAGAGTGAGGCATAATATATAATACGGTTCTCGCTAAATGTTTTATACTGCACAATGTTTTTCTGCAAGTTGGGACTTTATGTGATAGAAAATCACAGCATGGTGCATGATTATAGACTATTCAACTGGAAGGAAAAGTGTGCACTCTCCTTCAAACTAGAGCAGAACACAAACCATGAATCCAAAGAAAAAGGGCAGCAAGGCAGTGATGGGAAAACAACGGGAGGAACCAGCAAAAAGAGGTGAACAGAAGAGTTTAATGTGGAGCAATGGACCTGGCTGACTGGCTGCAGGTGTGAGGAGAGAGAGAGAAAGTGGCACAGGGGACCAGGAAATAAATCTAATACTAAAGGATGAGTAGACATATGGAACATAATTAAATTAGAGCTACAAAGAATAACTAGACACAGGAAATAAGAAATAAACACAATAAACTACAATTACTAAGAAGGAACAGAACTAAATCAAAGAGACTAAGGAACACAGAACAGTGAAACTAGAATCAAACCCCCAAGCAATCCAGGACCTGAAAGCCTTTACTTTTGTTGTTTATGATTTCCCACTTACAGCAATAAAAGCACATTTAAAATATTGTATCAGACCAATACAAAAACATATATATTTAAAAACGGAAAGGTGGTCTCAATAAAAACTATGTTTTCTTAGCTCTTGAAGATTATTTTTCAAAAAGTACTTTGAATCTGGCCAACAAGGGTCATCAGGGCATTTAATTTACTGAATATGACTGTATATGATCTAAAATGGGCTAGGCATACTGAAAATGTAGTAAATTTTCCTATTCTATACACCTGTCTAAAATATAAAGTGTTGTACATTCAATTGTCAGTGTGATTAGATTTGTGTCAGTATGACCTTTGGAGTTTTTGATAAGATAGATGATATTGTATTGTTCATTAGGGAACATTATAGGTGTGACACAAACCAATGGACTATCCTAACTGCCTGACCTCAAACTTGGAGCCTTCCTGGGTTTTACCACGTGTGTTTACTGCTCTTTGTTTTCGTTTTTTGTCACTAATTACAGAAGTCTTTCTCTGCTGCATCTCTGTGCTTTGGATGCTCCATTCTCCACGCAACATGACCCAATCTCCCGTTAGAAACACAAAAAGTTTGGAAATAATTTATGGCCTCGGTTTTCTTAACTTTCGAAAAGCTGGAATGTGATTAGGATTCTGCAGCTGTCCTTATGTTTGCTTGTTGAATATTCACATTTTTACATTTGTGTCAGTGAAAACTCTCAGATCTATTTTCAGCTCCAGTGTTGAAAATACTGGAGCTGCTCTCCAGTATTTTCAAGCTAATCAGATCTGAATGCATCACGAGAAGGACAGATTTGTTACAGCGACGTTGTCTTTCTGCTGAGTGATGAAATTCTCAAAGAATGCTCACACACACACACACACACACACAGAAAAGTTCATGATAACAAATGTCTCATAGCTTTCTATTTATCTGTCCTCCATTGGCCTTTTTTGTCTTATTACATCCACTCCACACACACACACACACACACACACACACACACACACACACACTCACACACACACACACAGCTAGAAATGTCCTGCTGGCTAACACCATGGTGATGTTATTTGACAGAGTTCTGATCAGTGTCTGCCACACGCAAGAGTGAGGGGTCCAAATCAAGTAATGTATCAAACATGTGTCTTCAACACAAAGCACAGCAGAGAACATGACACCAAACACACACCCACGCACACGCAGACACACACACACACACACACACAGCCCAGTCCTCAGGATAGATTAAATCAATCACTTCTTTGGCAGTCGTGCCGTTTGACATGCTCTCTCCCACCATAAAACCGTATGTGTGGCAGACCACAGATTCTCTTGGCTGGAGATGGGGGGAATGTGACGATATATTCCAGCAAAATGCAGTCCGGTCCGAACTGCAAGAACCCGCCAGCAACTTTACTTTACCCTTTTATAGTAAACATGGTAAAGGATCTTCAGGTCTAAACAGTAACACCTTCCAGCAGTCTCTACTTGTTTTTTTGTGTCAGATTTGCAGAGTAATTTTATCCGACATAAGTTTGAAATCCATTCAGTCACATTAACACATGGAGGCGTTCTCTACCAATTTCTTTTTATCAAACCAAGTTGAAAGAGACTCTGCTAAACTGTGAGACTACGCAACATTCTTGTCACACATTAGCATAGGCGTTTCTACACAAGGGCCAACAGGGGCAAGTGCCCCTATTGAACTTAGTGGCAACTAGATTAGCTCTGTTTTAGTAGTTCTTAATGTATAAAGATCTAAACTGTCAGTGGCAGAAACTTTTCTATCACTGGCAAAGTTTAAAAACTGGGAAAGAGGTGAAAATGACAAAGACACCAGAGGAGCTAATCTCAGGTGAGTAGAGGCAGCTGGGGACGGGAACAGGCAGAGGTAAATGAGGAAATGAGAAACAGCTGGGAAAGGGAGAAGAACTGCAGGCTGAGGGAAGGAAATCAAAATGCAGCAATAATTCCTGACTTGCTCGTGTGCATTCTTTGGCTAAAGACAGTTTAAACAAAATTAACAAAATGGTGGGCAAAAACAAATCCGATTTGACTTACATTCATCTGCTGGGTGAATGCTGCTAGTTTGGGACAGCTCATCTTACATCACACACACACAAAAAATTTAAATAAAGAAAATAAAACACAACAGCTATCTTTCTTCGGATTAAAGAAATGTTCACCAGTTCCAGATACCAGTTTTCACCCCAAACCTTCAGGCACCTGCTACAACGCTGAGGATGAAGAGGGATATTATATTTCAGAGTCCAAGCATATGTCAAAATCAAAAGAATGGCTTCTTCAAGAAACAAAAAGGGACATTTTTGGAATGGCCTAGCCAAAGTCCAGAACTAAATCAAAACCAAAATCTCCAGAGATCACCTGTGGGTTTTGCCATTGGTTCAACATGACTGAAATAAAGTGATTTTAACAAGACCTGACAAGTGGTGGAATCCCTGGAGAAGCTGCATTCACATACCTACTAATTCACTTCTAACTGGACTTCTCTCTTTCTTGCTCTCCATCTCTTTCATGGCAGTTCACATTGTCAAGGTGTGTGTGTGTGTTGAAAGGGGGAAACTATTTACGAGGACCATTTGAAATTATTTGTCTCGAGTTGCACGCCGACCTTTTGCCATCTCTGCTAAGTAGTGAGCAGGTTCCAGTTCATACTACTGGCCAGGAGATCAGGTCTCCATGTCTTAGCTAAGGCAGCCACTACAAACATTAGGCCAGTGAAATATGATTTCAGTGTGTGTCTTTACAATATTCACCTGATGCAGAATTTTAAAGTCTTCTCTGTTCTCACATACAAGTATCAATGAATGCTTGCAAAAGTTTTCATACCAATTGAAATGATTACTGCCAAATATATATATATATATATATATATATATATATATATATATATATATATATATATATATATATATATATATATATATATATATATATATATATATATATATTATTTTGATTTTATGAGACAGAGCAGCATAAAGCAGTTAAAAACAGTAATATGGAAGTAAAATAATACATTGTTGTCAAAAGATTTTAAAAATTACTGGAAAATGTGGTTTGTATTTGACTTTAGCCTCCCATGTGCTGCCATTTGCCTTCATAAGCCACCAAATCAGTAAAAAAAAAAAAAAAAAAATTATTTATTATCTGACAATTCTTGTGCCTTTTCTATAAAACCCGATATTCAAATGACAAAAACATCCAGACTAAGTAAAACAGTTAAACACCTGTCCTGCTGCAGATGTGCTTAGCACTCATTCGGTATTTTAGCAGTGAGCAGAAAAAAAAATATTTTTTTTATATGACAATAACATACAAATACCTTTCAAAGCATTGGTTTAATCTCTTGCTATGCAGCTTCTAAAACATTCAGTCCTGCTGAAAACTAACCTCATTATCACTTGTTAAACTTTCATTCGGGCCAAGTTCAAACCTGGCAGAGCTAGGCCTCCACATGCTAGCTGTCTGTTTTTTGACAAAAAGTTTATCTCAACCACAGAAATAATTCAGTCCGTGTTGACCACACTTCCAAATAAGTAATTAACATTAACACCCGCCTTGTTCAGCTTGGCACAATTTCAAACTTCAACAGAGTCCACACCTCCAAGAAGCGGAGCTTCTCAATACCTGTGAGACCCTCTGAATGAAGTGTAGAACACAGGACTGGTTTTTACCAGGCCAGTGATATTTTTGCCATTAATATTTTCAAAATCATACGTTTTCAATAATTCCTCCAGTATTTGGTAGTGATGCCTTTGAACTGTATGACTTGGGTCAAACTTTTTTGG